CCCTGCCATTAGCATACAAAGCAATCAGAATCAGCTGCTGCCTCTTGTACATACGGCAAAACCCAACAGCATGGAAAGCTTAAATGAGAATGGTGTGGAAGGTAAACAGAGTAACTGACACGATGCCCTTCAAACAATTACTAACATTTTTTTTTTTTTCCAGTCAGACAGCAGAGTGCAAAAACATTTTTATTAATTAAAAACTCCCAAAACTTAAGTGTATACATGTTTAACCACAAACTGGAACACATTTATCATTTCGGTTCTGAGAATTCTAGTTGTAAAAAAAATCAGTTTATCTGTTTGACTAACAGGACTTTGCAGCAGTAGCAGGAACGGACAGGCAGTTCTGTGCATTTATGTTGAACTTTCTTAGGGGGGGGGGGGGGGGGGGGGGGGGACGTTCTTCACTCACTCTCAGCACGAGCAAGGCTGCACCTTTGAGACGCAAGGTATTCACTAGGCTGGAGAGGAGGTTTTGGAGGAGAATGAAAAAGAGACGAAACTGTTCTGTATCAGCTCTCCCTATATATTGTTAAATACCAAACCTAAACTAAAAGTTGAATTAAAAAAGCAAATGTTATTAGAGCCATGTGTTTTAATGCTGTGGGCTTGAAGCCGATACCTTTATATAGTGTGTCTTGGGTTAACTTTAGAGGAAACTTCTTCATAGATGACAAATGTTTCCCTAACTGTGGCAGCCACAGACGGGGAACCTGTTGTTTGTAAACAGCTTAAACATGCTCAGCACTCAGAATAATGCCTTGCACAATAGTGCTTCTTCTGTCTTTTGAGCCCAATCATCATTAGAGAAAGTCATAAATTTTTAGACAGGCTGCTGCAAAACCAGGTGCATTAATTTAAATCATGTTTTGCTACCTTTGGGGGGGGGTATGAATTGATTAAATGAGCATGCGTGCGCCCCCCCCGGCAGGAAGCAACCATTTCCCGCTGGAGGCCTGGGATCCAAAGTTCATCTTTTAACATGGTTTCTTCTCACCCAGTTCTTGGAGGGAGGGTTACAGTAGGGTTTTTTTGTTTGTTTGTTTTTGGGGTCTTTTTTTTTGTTGTTTGTTTGGTGTTTTTTTTTCAAAACACAAGGCAGCATAATTATATATTTGCAGTAAGAACATATAGAAAATAGTTTATTTTCCATGCAGCAGCAAATTTAAATCAGCATTTTGTACACATGCTTGCATAAAAGCTCAACCATGATGTATTATTTACATTGAGATTATCTGGTTGTGCACATTGTTAAGTTTAAATAGATGCCAGAAATTTTATCTAGATGTGCACCTGCCTAGCGCAACAAGCAATCCCGAACTGGTATTTGCTGGGGAGATAGGTTTACAGTCATTTCTTCTCTCCTTTTAAGTACAGTCAAGCAGATGTAGAACTTCGGGTTGATGTGGAATGCATTTTTCACATAATGCCTGTGTGGAGATAAGGAATGCCTAAAATAAATAGCAATTAGACAACAGCATCATCATTCATGTGATCTGTTCTGAATAATATGTCTGTCCTACGTCCGGTACTAGCCTCACTGCATAACAAAATACAGACGGACACACACATCCTAAGGCAATGCAGAGCAACAGCCGGTCTCCCTTGAACTGCAGGAATATTTTAAGATGTTTCAAGGAAATCCTATAGTGTTTATCTGCAGAAAAAGTTGAGAAAAGATTGCTAAAAGATCATTTAGCTATCACAACTATATTTTTTAAACACTAAGAAAGCAAAGGGCTTTACAGTGTTGGTCACACTTGGGAAGGGATAGAGAGAACCAGAAAAAGTAAATGTTTCTTTTTCTGGACATAAGGTGCAAACCCAGTATTCACTGACTAGACGACACTATCTAAGAGCAGAGGCATGGGTGCTTTCTGAGCTAACTTCAAATTAAAGCCTTTTAGCTGTGGTCAGTACGAGTTTAGTTCAAGCTAACAAGCCAGCGTAAGACACTAATGATTGTACCATAGAAGGGTCACTCTGCATTCTGTAGGACTCAGAAATTATTCTGAGTGGAGAAAATGAGCTGTTAACAGGACGCTAGCTCTCTCTCCTGCACTGGTTTCCGTCCCTCGATTACTCTGCCTTTGGTGTGGTAGTTGGTTACAAGGAGTAAGCAGTAGAAAGAATCTCTGGCATGAGCAGGTAATAAGTATTAGAGTAAGATTAGCTTGTGGACAAGCAGGATTTTAAAGGTTAGGTGTTTTTTTTTTTCCTACTAGGTTACTTGTGATTACAAAATAAAATTTAACCTTCACTGAGAAGCAAAATACACGTGTCTGACCTCACCCCTGCGCTCAGTTATACAGCTTGTAGAACCTGTAGATCTACTTTTCCATATTCCTCGATTACAAGGTTAGCATACTTCAATTTTCCAAAGCAGAGACGTTCTCACACTTTACAGGGAATTGATGTAATCTGCAGACATGCTCATCTTTGTCTCACTAGACTTTATGAAAGATATGAGCAACCAGTTTTCTCATGCACAGGTAATATACGATATAGACAAGGTCAGTCACTAACTGGGCTTTTGCTTACAACACTGGAACAAAGCTGAGTAGCCAAAGGAGGAAGAATTTAAAACCCCATAAAACATGTCTTGAGGTGTCTGTTAGTATATTGTTTTATGCTTGCTGCTCTGGGAATGCTAAGAAAGTTGATGCGGTGGATTGATCGGCAGCAAGCCCAGCCTGTCTGAGGTGCACGTGCAGAGATGGAACAGGAGGGCGAGAGGAAGGGGGCGCTTGGAAGAGGGGGGCTGCTGCTGCTATTTCAACCGGGCCACCTGCCCTGCAGCCCACTGTCCTCTCTTGGAAAAGGGCACTGCTTGGAGGCCCTTGGCTGGCTGAGCTGTTCTGGCTGGCTGGGTACCGCCTGCCAGGAGCGCGCTGCGGAGTCTACCTGTGCATTAATAACAGCGAAGAAGGGTGCCTGCAGCAGCTTTGCAGGAAAGCAAAGGCTGAGCCCAGGCAGTGACGCACCCCTGCCATCAGTAGCATAGCAGGGCTGCAGTAGGCAGCCTCCTTGGTGAATGCCAGGGCATCAGTCGTGGCATTTAAGAAAGTATAATCTGAAGTATGCAAATTTTCTTGCTTGCTTTACATGTGTTACAGCTGAATTGCCATTCCTGAGAAAAACATCCAGTTAGAAACTGACAGGGCTGATGAGGAGAAAGGCTATTGGATATTTTAGAGTGGGACAGAGTTTCTACAGATTCAATATGTCGTTTTGCTTAACAAACCAGTAACAAGAAATATCATGTGCAGAGTAACAACTGTTTTCCCCATCAAGCTATTACAGTCTTGACTGCAGGCCTACATACTACATCACTCTGCAAATGTTTTAAGATTAAGAACCTCAGTCCTTAAGATTGTACTGCTTGTACGTGGCAGCTGGAGAAGCGACGGAGCAGACTGAGGGGCTGCTTACCTCAGTCAAGGAGCGACTTCAGGAACGCAGAGCTACTGGCAGTCTGAACGTACTCTGTGGAGGAGGAAAATCGGTTTTGATGAACAGAACAATGGATAATTTTTGATGAACAGAACAATGGTGTTACTACAGAATTTGTGAAAATCCCCACACAAATATGCGTTAAATAAGTTACTGCAGTGGTCAACAGAACTCCTTTTACTTGATACAGTTACTATGTCTCAACAGTAATTTAGGAGATTGTCTTAATTACTTGTGAGCATATGCACATATGTTACATCATTACCAATGATGACAAAGCGGAACAGAATGTGTTACGAGTATTAGGAGCTGGTCCTTCTTTTTTGCTATTAATAATAAAAAAGTAAATAAAAATCCATAAGGACTGTACCGGCAGATTCAGCAGATGCAGTCCTTGATTGGATTAAGAGGAACCACCATCCCCTGGGTCCTCTGAGGGGATGGCAAAAAAAAAGAGGCAACTACACCTGAGCCCCTTACTCAAGGAGGGCAGAGCCAGGGTGAAGAGCTGAGCAGACGGCTGGAAGAAGTAGACAAAAAGTGTGCACAGGTAGAAAGGGAATGAGAACGTACGGGGAAAGGGTCCGGAAGCAGGTGCATCTGCATGCCAAGATTTCCGAATGGCTTTCTGCAGCAGATGATCAGCTCTGGTCTCAGTACCCTGAGTGTCTGCTGATGGTTCATACTGCATTTTGATTCCACCACCACAAAAGGGTGAGGAGAGAAATCAGAATTATTTGCTTTATATTAAACATACTGAGAACAACAAACATATTTACAGCAGCTTATAGCTAAAAAGACTACTATGAGGAAAGGGGCTGATATAAGCCTAGATGGAGAGAGGCATCAAAGCCACTGAAGACATGGGTGGTGGTGGGGAAGATTCTCCTCGGTTCTCCCCATCTGGCATGCTGTGATTCCTTAGGTGTCACACACTTCCTGTACGTGGTGTGACGCAGAAGACCTGCCCGTGGATCTGACATGAGGTGCCAGTGACGTTACCTGGAGCTGACCCAGACCAAGCCAGAAATTCTGTCCTAAGCTAGGTCCTTCATCAGGTTACTCCATAAAAAAGGCATCCAATTCAACTTTGCCTCAGGTACAACTTTTTAGCATTATACCTAATAAACACTTTTTTTTTTTTTAAACACAGATTATCATCAAAACCCTCCCACTAACTATTGTTTAAAATAGGAAACTGTCCAGCCTTGTATGACAAGTAACAGCAAAAGACTGACATTTAATTACAAGTTGCAATTCTTTGGTTTCTTTGTGCTAAATGCAACTTCCTAATTCAGTCTTTATGAACCCTTTAATCACTGATTGCAGCATCCTGACTATGCGCTACTTAAAGAACCCATATGTGCCAAAGCAACCATGCCAAGATCTGCACTTCGTTCTGAGAAGCTGTCTTAACAAATGGAAGCTGCCCAGATTCACATAAAACATCACTAACTCAGCTTTCTTTCCAAACATATACCATGACATATACACATTTTGGCAAAACAGCCCTATTTATACTAATATTTATACAGATGGCATTCAGATTTAGATATTCAAATAATATGATTTACTACTCATATGCTCCAAAAACTTACAATGCTTGTTGTAGCAGTTCACGCTTTTTTGGTTTTGGGGGTCTTTTTTTGATGCAAGATAACGAGTTGCTCTTAAAAAACCCCAACAAAACAGCCCCCCCCCCAACAACCCTTCTTTCTCTTGATATTTTTATATGCAGAACTCCTAAAAGTACGTTAAACGACATAAAAGCAAAGAGAACGTTAGCAAAACTTCTGTATGAAAATCTGTTGTGACCAGAGCAGCTAGGAAAGGAAGGGATCTGCAGAGGTGACAAAGAGGTCTGGGCTGCAGCCGGCTGTGGCACAAGCGCTCGCTGGGTGCAGGACCAGCCTGCTCTCTCCTCGCCAGCTCAGCATTTCAGGGTTGCTTAGGGCAAGGCAGCGGCTGGAGAGTCACCAGAAACCTCACCCCTGCGGGGTGGGTTGGAAGAAGCCTTGCTGCCCTTTGCCGTGGTGTCTCCTGTCCCAGGCCCGCAAAAGCATTAGAAGGGCAGAATCTTCCCAAGTTTCTTCTCCCCTCCTACTTCCACTGCCATTCTTTCCTGAGTTTGACTGCTCTAAAACATTTACAGATCCAAAAAGCAGAGAGAAAAAAAATGTTCACCTGTCAGGTGATATAAAACCAATCTTCTACTAAATGTGCCAGAATAATTTTTCTCCACCTCAACCACAGTTAAAACCTTCAGTCTATTCATTACTGTCTTTTTATAGTATTTTTATTTAATAAAACCTATTAAGACTACCATACAAATCTCTTTACTTATGCTTTTATCTTTTAACTGATCAATTTTTATATTGCTGACATCCCTTCTTCACCATTTGCTCATTTAAAAATTCATAGTATATGAGCTATGTCTCTGGAGAAAACGTCTATAAAATTTGTTACAGCTGGCAAATGTGTATGAGTCAGTGATAGCACATGACTAAATGCTTCACAGAAAATAAAATTTGTTTCTGTAGTAAGCAGAACTGTTTAAATGTTATTTATTTTTATGTTTCAAAGAAAATATATTGTGAAGTGCTGCATTGATTTAATACGCAACAATGTCTGTGTACATGCTGTACAAGGAAAATTTATGAAACCTTTGCACAACTCCTTTAATTGAATTTTCCAAATCTCTCACCACACACAAATAATCAATATCTTCTGCAGAGAAAACCAGTCAGAATTATTACAGTCTTTCTTTTCAATTTTGTTGTCATCAGCACATACAGAGCACCTGGATATTTGTAATGTCTGGATAGCAAGTTATTTACACCTCTTAAACATATAATTGCTACTAAGTGAGTCCAAACTAATGTTTCTTTTCTTTTTTATTTAAAATAATTATATTCATGGGAGAAAGCAGTATTTATTCTCATGTAGGAGCTGCTACATGTAGCTGTTGAAAGAACTACAATTCTTTTTAATTTTTCATTAAGCTTAATACTCTAAAGTCTAGATCCACTAGAATTAAAAATTAATAGCTATTGCATCTGTAAAAAGGTACGTAGGAAAATAGAGTATAAACACAAGTGTGAAATTCATGAATAAATGTGGCTGACACCTAAATATAAAATGCAGGTTGACAGTTCTATATGTATATACGTCTGAGGCCTATAGTCATATGTCTCATGTGCATTTCTGTATCTGCCACAGAAGTTAATAGCTTAATATTTCATCTACATAGCAGAGGATGTTAAATCATTGGAGAGGTTTGTAATTTGCCCCCTTCCTTCCATCCAAAAAGCTTATCATGCCGATGACCTCAGACCCAGACGTTTCTCAAATCTCAGGTTGTATTTTAAAGTATGCACTCTTAAGGTGTGGGTACAATCCAACAGACCCATAACCTGCTGGGAAAGAGCACAGCATTTGGGGGTCAAACAGAAACCTGTCCACCAGCAACTTTACCTTTCAGTAGCATTCTTTCAGCAGACAACATTACTCACTGGTCCTAGGAAAATCACTAGCATTGCAGATTTTGGGTACCAGGCTAAGTGGGTCTTGTTACCTCTTCTAGACTGTAAAGGACTTTGCGTGGTTAGAAACTAAAAAAAGACACGCTTGCACAGAATGAGAGAAGACGTACAGTCAAATTTAGCCTGAGCAACAACAGCTTTTAATCCACACAACACAAATTAGAATACAACACATTCCTCCTCAAGGTATGTTTTGGGGCAATCTCACAATTAGTTTTGACTGTAAATGCAGGAGGGCAGAGCAATTTCTCTGGGTCTCTGCATGGGGACGTTCAAAATAACTTATGAGTAAACAAAACAGGTGAGTTGCACCGAGTCCTGGTGTGCAAACGCACACTCACATGTTCAGCACTGAAGCAGTCTTAATTCTGTTTTGCTTGGTGCAGTCCCATTTACAAGTGTTCATGCTGAGGTGTAACTTAAAAACATAACTGAGATTAACTTTTCCCCACGTCTACTGGTAGCAGGGCCTTGTGAACAAAAGTACAGACAGATCTTCCACAAGGGAGAGCAGATGAACAAGGCCAGGCTCCCTCCCGCACCCCATAAACAAAGCTAGGATTTCTTGAAGCTGTCTCGCCAATGACATAGAACATAACGCTCAAAGGGTACACTCATTTCCATCGGCTGGTTTCAGCTCCAAGGAATCATCTGCCAGTTGGGAACGTGTGCTGTGCACCTGCGCAATCTCTCTCTTTAACCTGCCATTCACCTGCACCTCAAGGGCCGAAGTCATGCCGGTCACAGTGACTGCTCTTCTAGAGGAAATCCTGCAAAGTGCTGCCTGACTGCAGCCCCTTCATTCCACTTTTGGATGCGAGGATACTCTTGGCCTAAGGGTTCCCCGTCCTGTGGTAAAGGCAGGTACGTACTCCATGCTGCAGTTGCATTACAGATCTAGTCTGTGTAAGCGTCAGCTCTGGCCCACACAGCCTTGCGCATACAGGCTTTCTGGTACTAGGTTGACTGAACTTGAATGCAACTGAATACCAGGGTTTCAGACTGTCAGAAAATATCAACTCTTAATTTCTGTCGTAGTTTCACAGCCTTTCTGAGTAGGCCAAGAGGGCAACTCATGTCTTGGTTGCTTGCAGGACTGAAGTGAAAGAGCACTGACTGTCATCTTCCAAACACTACGTAGGGATACTACCTCAGAGCAGACATTTCTGATGTGTGGCCAAACATCAAATCTGGCCTTTAGTGTTAAGATCTTAAGCATATTGTTTGCAAACACAAGCTCTAAGTCTCCACCTAGTAATAATCTATTTGAAAAAAGGTCCTTCAGCATCATCTTTGTTGCTTTTAGAGATGATGTACACCACAAAAAGGCTGCTGTAGAGACCTTGCTAAACTTCTGCTGGAAAGAAGCCTAGGATTTAATGGAAACAGCCTTAGTAGAACTAAGGAATTGTTATTGTGTCAGCATTAGTAGCTTTTTCCAAACAGATTAAAAATGTGGAAGAACTGAACTTCAGAAAAGCCTCTATCACAAATGCCTAGAAGTAGGGTTTGCACAAACCGGAGCAGATAGTTCATCCTTACAGCCAGCTCACGTATCAGTTCTTAAGAAAGAGGCCTACAGATTTGTTGGATAAAAGGGCATTCCCAATACCTACGTCCAACCCCTGCATCCGTCTCATCACTTCCCTGAAAAGTGAGTATTTGCTGTAAGCAAAGGCAATCATGGTATTTGTTCCATTTGCTATCAAGGAATGGAAAGTCTGGAAAGAAACCGTGCTTCTGAATAAATTTACTTGTGAATTCATTTAGTTCACTTAACAATTTTCTGCTTAGCCAGTTCACAAGACTTACTTTTCCCAGAAAAGGTATAATGACATTTCTTCCCTGCAAGTGAATACAAAGGTGGACTGAGAAAAGAACCGATGTTTTTTAGGTTAGGGTTTTTACAGTCAGAAAAATCCACAGATATGTTCCTGAAAACATAAATCTAAAGTCTGATGCATTTCCCTTTTCCCCAGAAGATCCCAAAGAAGGAGGAGGAGGAAGGATAGGTGGGAGACAGACACACAAGTATGTCTAAAGGTCAACAAATTTATTCTACTTTATTTTAGAATGAGGTAGAAATATATTGTAAACTTGATTTACCCTCACTCACAGCAACCCACCAGACCCAAGCTATTTAGTTGCTTGTACACGAAAACCCAATACAAAGTCCAAACTTAAAGTGACATGAATTGGGATAAACTGTGGAATATTGTATCCTTACCATTTTACCTGTTTTGAGAAGGAACGCTGCTTATTAAGGAGGCATCTATATTTTGCAGTGTTTCTGAAATGGGATTTTATGTTTTACCATATATACACAGTCTTCAAAAAAACTGGATTGGCGAGTGGGAACTCAGTATTACAAAGTATTACTGGGTCCCTAATCTCTCCAGCTTTGCTTTCATTAGTAATTTGAAGTAGTGTTAAATGAAAATCCATCTAGTTAACCCTGATCTAGTCTCTTGGAAAGCTACCCCTACTGTTGCAAAGAGTGTAAACTCCAGTCACTTGTATTAAAAACAATATGAAAGTTAGGAATGTTTAGAACTAAACTTAACAGGGGTGATCATATTTGCCCATGGGCTTGGCCGGGATGAGCAACAACACAGAAAAGAACGCATTTTTTATTTCATTACAAGACAGAGTCTGAAAATAGTTTTCCTTAACACTGCAAGTATTTGATCTTCTGTAACACTCTCTTGTTTCTCACTTGGACAGCAGACGGAGTCATGGACACGATTTATGTCAGTGTTTTTATTTTTGGGAAGCAAAGTATTAGTATAATTTGTAACAACCAGCTTAAAGTAGCTTTCTTGTTTAGAATGTTATCTTCACTTGTTGAAACTCTGAACCTATTAAATTTTCCTTTAAAATACGCATATCGCAACCTACACATTTATTCTCAACACACATAAAGCATGTTTTGGACTGCAACATACGGACTAGATTTCATCTCTTGGCAGCTGCTTTACAGTTTGCTTACATTCTATTCAAAAACATTTTGTTTACTGTAAATGCTAGTCATGGACAAACAATGATGCCATTTTTTATGCTGGTCACACAAAATTATATATTGAGTCCTACATAATGCTGCCCATTAAGCAAGGAATGTTTTGTATTAAGTTGTTTTAAGTAGAGATTGTTTATGGAAAGTAAATAAATTTCATGCCTCACCATGTGATGATAATGTGACATTCCATTTGTATCAAGGCACAGAACAGTCATAAGTTTTAAGTCTTGAGCATAACTAATTAAAAATAATTGCAAAAAACCACATCCAAAACTAAAAGGCAAAGTAAAACATCTCCAAATGTTTTTCTTTCATGACATACTCTTCACCTCTCCTACTACTGTACTTTCAAGACTGCAAAATTGAATTTATTCTTTATTAAAGCAAAATTGACACTGAAACTTCATCAAAATCGTTCAACTTAAACTCATTATTCTATTTTCCATCCTACTTTCACAAAATATCTCATTTCTCATCTAAAGAGACTGGATGTATGTTTAGCATTAGGGGCTAGTTTCTAGAGCAAAGGTAGAACTATAAATGTGTATCTTGGTGACCATTAAAAAGGAGTGCACAAAGGAAGCAATGACTGTTTAAATCTGCAATGGCCCATAGCATTCACCATCATCAGTGCCAGATAGATACTGTGATCATTTGAACAGAAGGACATAGGGAGCTGTAAATCAGAAATAGCAGATTGCACAAATAAGCCAAATTCCTTAAAAAGTGATGTCACTCCTTTTCATTTGGCAGTAACCTGCTGGAGCTGAGGAAACTTAAGTTTGATCAATTTTCTTTCTTTTAAGAGAATTCCCCACAGCAGAAAGAACTTAGGCCTGTGGAAGAGCAGATACAACCAAAATCAAAGGGGCTGCTTGTGATAGGAAGCAGTCCTGCTGGTTGGGACATCTGGCAGACAAAGCAGTAGAGATGCCATCACCAATTTTGATTCTGATTTTGCTCTATTTTAAGATAGAATGCATGAAGATAACAGAAATATCAGAATATCAGTAGTGAATGTTTGTTGATTTTACAGGGTGTGAGAGAAAAAAATAAATCTTGCGTGTATCCCCCTGCCACCTTCCCAGCTAGACAAGGCACTAAAGTGGCTATGTGGGCCATACTAAATTAAATGCCACCAACTTCAAATATTTTCACAGCACTAGTTATGAAGAAACCTAATAGTTAGGATTTCACAGTCCCCTGGAGTGTGCTAAATACCTCACAATACATATAAGGTGAAAAAGGTTTTGCTGCAAAGACTGTATGCTACTTGGCTTACACACTGAAAGTGCAGGGGGGGAGGAGAGAGAGGAAGAACAAGGATAACTGATATACATAAAAGGTATGTAAAGTCTCTAGGACCTGTCTGCACTTATTTCTAGACCATGCCTCAAGTGCAAGACCATTAATCATTTCTTCTCCTTGCACAGTTTTATGGAGAAATACCCAATACAATGAACATAGCTGAAAAGATGAAATTTATATGCGAGTAGTTCAAAAGTTTAGGCTAGCCTGCATGTTTAGAAGAAACACATTCTAAAAAACATTTGATTATCATAATTTTCACATACTAAAGGTTACCCAACTTATTTCAAGTGGAAAGAACTAAGAAGAAAGCAACTAAAAGGAATCAGCAAAACATATGTTACACAGGAGTTATAAAAAGTTTCTTACCTCGGGCAGGAAGTTCTCTGTGGTTTCTTTTAAACAGCTGCAGTTCTTCTGCTTGACTCACTAGTCAAATAAATAAATCTGAAATCAATAAATGTTGCCCCAGAGATTTCAAAGAAAATAATACCTATGGCTCCTTTTCCACTTTCAAAGCATTCGTATTTTTCTTCAAGAGATGACACCCCCCCCCCCCATTTATGTATTATGGTCAAAAAAAATTAACAAAACATTTTCAAAATTAACAGAATTTTGAGAAGTTGTGCTTACAAGCCTTGTACGACATTTTTGGCCCCACTTTTGCCTTTGAGTGCTGACATGGTGCTTTGTTCCCAATTCAGAGATGGAGGGAAAAGATGATTTCTTTCCCATTTTGAAAGCAACAAGAAGCTAACAGGAAGAGTGGACGTAACAGAAAATGTCAACAATAGGTCTGACATCTCATTTGTGCAGTCTTACTGCCCTATCCACAGTGTAGGGCAATAATGTAAACACAGACTATTTTCAGAAAACTTCATTTCGTATAAGAAAACATCTGGTTATATGCATTACAGTGGGAACTAGTACAGTGTATACACATGCAAAATGAAAACTGAATGAGCATTGGAATACAAGTCAGGAAACAAATGGTAATTTAAACAACGGTAGCTGCTGGAACTGCGTGGTGCATAAATTCCACTGCTGGGGCACATGCACCTAATGCATTAGAAGAGTCACAGTGCTCCTTGGTAAGAAAAATTCTCTAGCACCTTGGCTTTACTGTCCACCTGTTTCCAACTGTGAACAAAGTAGCAGTCCCAGTGACCCTAGGTTTTGTTCTCCTGTAGCTAGTTCCAGTGTTTTTACACTCTGCAGAAAACAGAGCAACCAGACAGGTTGTAGAATAATGTACACCAGCAAAACGTCACATTTGCTGCAGGTTAAGAAATAGTTTTATGTTCTTTGCATGCTTGTCCAAAGACTGGACACAGGGGTTATGCATATGCATATATTATTCATATTCCCTGGTCAGCTGGAAACTAGATTATCAGGGGTTGGTATGAAAAGTCTACAAGAACAATGTTATATATGCAAACCTTTGAGGAGAAGTAGTGGTAGGTAGATGCAGTCTTAGATACACACTTACACCACAAACATGCCATGTGGGTACAGATAAAAGATGTTGCTATTGTGAAAACAAATGAACAAACTGTTCTGAAGCATAAAGATTGGGGCCCCCTTGGTACCTACAGCTACCTTTCACCACTTAACTTTTAAAGGACTTGGTAAGGGAAATCTTTATTTCTTCTCCCTGAAAGCAAATAGTTTTCTTTTTTCCCCTGCTATTATCCATAACTCAAGTTTTTTGCATTAGAGTATTTCCCCATCACATACTCCCTGTCTAGTTGCAGAGGCAGGTGGGAAGACAAGTATGAATGCACTTTTCGCTGCTGAGGTTTCACATGTCCCAAGAACGTCTGACTTGGAGTAAAGATAAAAAGTTTCCTAAAAATGGACATATAAAAATGAAAATCTTTGGCTTTCTAGGTTCCTTTGCAAAGGTGTTACAGATGCACCATCTCTAAAGTGCCCTTATCCCAACACAATAAGCATCTGGTATGTCCATCATTTAAAGACACATGAATAGCAATTTTTAAAGACTGGAAACCTACATTCAGCCTAATCCTCCTAACAGGCAAACAAACAAAACAACTTCCTTGCAAAAAGAGAAGAAAGGCAATGCAATCAAAGTGCAAACACTTAGCCTAATCACTAGCTAACTACCCACTAAGTATCTAACTATTTACATGAGAAAAGGTGTTGCTCTTGCAAGTTTTTCCTCCCCATCTGTGACTGTGAGTTAGAAGAGTGGACCATTGGGGCTGCCTTTCTTTTATGTCCCTGGCTGGATGCACAAGGACATTCAAGGTGCATTTGTCCTGACCAAAAGAACTCACACGTCAGAGTCCTGGGGTATAACACTCTGTTGTAAAACAGAGTGGGGTATGACTCTAAGAAACGTTTGGAGTGATCATTGTTAAATTGGTATAAAGGGGATAAATATTATTGAAAATCCTCCTTACTTAGCAATTGGGTTTTCTGCACTTCAGCACTCAAGATGCAAGACGAGTCTGAGACACCAATAATATTTTCAAGCTCTCTACTGCCCTCTAAGGCCTGGAAAAAAAACGTAATTAAAGACATTGTTAAATCTCATTCCCAAACTACCTACTTAGGCGTCTACAGCTTATTAAAAACATCTCAAAGAAAGAACTTTTGGAAATTTTTCATAAGCTCTAAATGATGCATGAGACTCCATGTCACAGAAAGTCAACGGGACTAGAAAGTTTAAGGGTGTAAGAACATATGGTACTTTTGAAAATGGCATTCAGGTGCCTTTTAAAGTGTTACTTAAAAATCTCCTGTTATTTACGCTTCATTTGTAAGTCTTCAGCTGTTTAAACAGATTAACACTTGATCCCCAGAAAAGCGATCTTGGCGCATGTACAAGCTTGCTATAATATCTTAGCAAAATGGAAATCTACAAGCATTTAAGATTCTATTGAACACACTCCTCAGTGTCTCACAGTAGACCTAAAACCATACACTATCAAACTCAGGAGAAATATAAAGGATTTTTCAATAGCGTTTTCTAAATGAACTTTTCAATTAAAATATTTTAAGTTAGTACCAGTCTTTTTTGTAAATAAAATATTGTCAGACCACATATGCAGGTAAAATAAATCAATGCAATACTTCAAGTACACTGAATTATTTCTCAGATATTGATATACAGCAACGAACCTGGTGCTAAATTTATTCAGGAAACAAAATGTAAATAAACCAGAAAAGTGATTTGCATTTTAGCATGTATTAAACAGACTAATAAATGATGACACATTCGTGGTAAATTAAATAGTACAATCACTTCAATGCAAAGGGATATTTAAACTTCATGGACATAAAAATCTATGCAGTAATGAGTCATACTTCAAGTTACAAATAATAGTTGATAACTACTTCTTATGCTTTTATTTGTGTACAAAATGAGGAGTGATACAAATTAAAAATGGTGTACTTGGAAAAGCAACTCCTCTAGTTTAAAAAAAATTCTACTAAATTCTGGGATTTTTTTTTTTTAATTTATTTTCTGGATTTCCAAGTCAAACCTGCTTGGTTTCAAGTATTTTATTTGCTTGCCTATTTCTTACAACTCAAATGTTGCATATAAGATTTTATTTTTTATTTCAAATCCTATATTAAAAGTAGATTAAAAAAATAAGTCAGTGTAAATCAGACCTGCAGACTTGTCAGATTTGCTCTTATTTTCATAATTCTAACCAATGAACTTTTCACTTTGGACTGCAGTTCCATGAACCTGCATAAAAAGTTAAAATAAAACAATTTCAGTTAGCCACATCCCCACTTGCTGAAAATCAGTGTTTACAATGTTTCCCAGAGTTTCTTCACATTGTAATCAGTATGGATCTAGATAAGCTGTGAACAGATGGCCTGTGCAACCTGATTGTGTCATATAACACCGAATATAACTTACCTTTGGTTAGGATTTATATGCAAACTGCCAAAAATATATATATCCTAATTTTAACGATAGGAACTTGGGTTCAGCAATATTAGAGGATTTTCTTATGATCATGCAGGAAGACGATGTTAAAAACAGGAATTTAACCCATTTGTTCCTAAGAGCAGGAATTTAATCAAGAGGATGAGCTCCCCAAACCCACGGGCTGTAAGACTGTATGACACTGCTTGTAGCCATAGGAAACAGGAGAAATTAAAAGTGAGCCCAATAGAGACACCATCGCATGATCTTATTTGTTCAGCTTTGTTGTACTGACTCCCCTTTTAAGTCAGAAATACATTTTACTACCAGTGTAAAGACGGTCAGCTTTCAGAGTTTAAGGGGTTTTGCAATAAAAACTACAATAACATCCAATCAGATTAGATCTAAATGGCAGACTTTAATGCATGACTAAGGATTTGCACTGAATATGTATTGAAAAAAAATCCTGCAAATGAATGTTTAGGCTATTTTCTCTTTGAAGCAATTAAACATGCAAATCAAATGGAGACAACAGAGAAATAACCTATTTACTGCTTCCTTCCACAGAAGGGAAAATTGCCTTTATAAGAAACCCCAAATTTAGGAAGAGAACTACTGTATGGGAAAAACTTATCACTGTTGCATTTCAACATGGCAACAGAAGGCTATGCAGAAAAAAAAATGCTAATGTCAGTGTATTGTACAATATATTTTCCACCTGTAAAAACAAAACGTGTGGAAGTTCACATAAATATTACTGTGTAGGTGTTAGTTTATAAATGTGTTTTACTGGCATGGCACTGACTGCTAGTCTTCTGAAAATCTTACAATTTTTTTAAAAACATACTGAGTTAGTGAATGCAAACATTTACAGATCAATGAAGACTATGATTACTCAAGTTGTTCTGCAATTCAGGTTACTACCACTAAGAAACAAGTCTATATGTGTTGACCAAGGGATTTACTGAACCACAAAAAAACCCCAATTAATCAGTTTACAGCTTTCCACTGGTATAACTGTAAGATTTTACTTTTTATGATCTAACATGCCATCCAAACAAGTCTACTACCTGCTAACCTCCATCACTTAGAAGATACTTACTGTCCTACAGCAAAGAAATTTCAAGCTAATGGTGGGGGAAATCCATTACAAGAAAGAAACCCAGCAAACACATTGAGAGTTCAAGTGCAATAATCAAAAGGAAGAGCTACAACTTCAAAAGTAAGAAACATAATATTTAGTTGAGTAAATGTCACAAATATTATTTGTTAGTAAAACAAGAAATGCATGCATAAAATATCTAGCCTGAAGGGAATTTTCATCTGGAACACCAGGTACAACTGTGACACGAATATTTAATACACGCAACAGAATACAGAAGCAGAGTAACAGAATCAACATATACTTAAGCATATGATGAAAGAAACCCACTAAAGTACAAAACACCAACTCTTTAAAGTTGTTTAACTAGCTTGCATGAATACTGCACTAGCATGGTGATACTTCTTCCAGTGACACAAGCTGCAGCACAGCAGTTGCACTCTGCCTTCCATATCAACAGGACTTACAGTATGACCTGTTGTCGGAAGCAGGAACACAAGGAAAGTACAAAGAAGCCGGACAACAAAGGAGTATGTAGGCAATGGAGGTTTGCATTACACTGAGAGGTGAGCTCTTAGTGACAAACTGGGGTAATAGGAAACGCACCTCAGATTTTGGACAGAAAGCGTGCCAGATTTTGGACAGAAAGCGTGCCAGACCTACAGACAGGAGAATTTACATAACAATTTTAATTGGATGCAGAGGCACCGGGCCTGAATGAAATACAGGACAGTGACATTACACAGAATGATAAAAAAAAAAATATAATGCTCTAGAGGAGAGAAGAGGAGATGTGGTATAGCCGTGTTGATGCTGAGCTGTGAATTAGACTTTCTCAGATAGATGTCAAAGATCTATGTCAAGATTCCACCAGAGGACAAGTTGAAGCATCAACCAAAAAAGCAGGACAACACAATAGGATAATAAGATTTCAAGAACAAAAATGTAGACAGTGTTGAAGAATGATAATAAAGAATTTTTTAAAAAATTTTGCTAATAAGAGATCACAAGAGTCTCTTTTGAATGCAATTTCAGTTGAGTAAAAAGGATGGAAATGGATGGGGGACTATCTAGGAGAATATTGTATTAGCAGCAAGAAGCATGAACATGCTCATTGAGGAAGGAAACTTTCAGATTTTTAGCTAGACTAAAGCTTAAACTCAAAGTAGCTTTGCTGAGCATATACAAGTTCCATATTAAAAAACCTCATAACTTTCAGGCGTCCGAATTAGGTAACTTCCCATAAAGATGAAAGGCATCCCTGATACTATCCAACTTACAGAGGTTCACAGCTTTCCGCTTTTTCACCAAGTTCTATCATAGATGAAACAAATATTTCCTTTAACTCTTAGGGATGGATGTGTTTGTTTTGGCTGAAATACATAACACATTTAGCCTGACACCTCACTGTTGGCACACAAAAGTTTAGTTCACTTTTCAGCTAAGATTTGGCGATGTTATAAACAAATACATTTTTCATAACAGAAAAGATCAAGCAATACTAACAACATGAGACACTAGCAGCCTTACTTCTAATACATTTTATCACTTCTTCCTCACATCTATCAAGCTTAGGAAAGCAGTTTATCAGATACTTCACCTGAAACGTTTATTTAAGTGCTTTACTAACTGTGGACTGCCCAAAACCCATTAATGTCAGGAAGGTTATAGCTTAAAATAAGATTGTGGCAGAAAAGACAAGAATTTGAAAAGATTTTGCAAAGCAAATACGAAGTTTCACCATGACCATCTGTGGCTGGTTTTTAATCAAAAAGCGTCCTGCATTACTGGCCCTGTACCTTTGGCAGTTAATGCTTCCAAAAATAAGGTAAAGGAATGTACACTTTCAGAATAGTCTGGAAAGGCAAAACATACCTTCCTTTCAGTAGTTCAATTACATATTTCATTATGTAGTACTATTAGCGTGACTCCTGTAACTGGCAGTGACATATGCCCCACACTACCAGTGAAAGAGAACTGGCTGGACAGTTTGTATTGCAAACCCTGCATTAATCTGTACCTACAACTGTAAGCTGACCATTCAGTGCCTTTGAATATCCAATCCTGGGGAACTGGAGGTATTAAAAAAATAATCGCTATTGATTTAATTCTGTATGAAATACTAATCTTTTGTAAGTAAATATCACAGCACTGCACCCACAACGCACTTAATACACTTACGCATTCTCCTCTGTTTGAGGCTGCCCTCTTCTGGATAGTCTGCTTTTTGAAGCATTCTGCTCAGTTCCATCTCCTAGGAGGTTTATAAGAAAGGAAAGAAACAATAAAGATGAAAATAAGGTATCAAATATTTGAAGCACATGAAAAAGGTGTTAGTATGAACCCTGACTGTGCAATGATCTTTTAGGAAGAGAAAAAAACCAAAACTCACTTATGAAGCAGGACAGATTTCCTGGCAATGAAACACACTAAGTTCACTATAATTTACTCTTTTGTAATTTGACCTCTCATCAATTCACATTACATGTGTATTTGTAGAAACCTTGGGACTACAGTATTAATCACTGGAAGTTAGTATAATTCTGACACATAGTTACTGTGTTCTACTCAGAAGCTTTTTATCCTATTAACTGCCTAAATACAGCATATTAGCACAGAGCATTATAATGAAAATGCTGTAATGACTGAGCAATGAAACCTCCATTTTCCTTTAATAAAAAGTGCCTGGTCCCCAACTCCATCTTGTAAACAACTACAAAGAGATACTGCAAATTAGTTCCAAAGGCTCTGACATGCTATATTGACAATATAATATTCTAGCTCGTCATATGATGGGGCATGATAAATCATATGTTGGTTGCCATTATTCCATATGGCGAGCCATATTTCTGTATTTCAGTGCACTGATATTTTGAGCAGACACATATTTCTGTGAGGAAACAGGAATAGGAAATTACCACAAAAGTCCATTCCCATGGATTTGTTAATAAAACCTAGGCTCACATGTGGTGGTGGTAAACTGGTGGACTGCCTTTCTGTCACCATAGGTTGGGCATTCTTAAATGACCAGATTTCGAGACAAGCATCTAACACACACTGCTCTCCCAAAGCAGGTGGACAGGGGGATGTTTTCAGTGATACTGATTAGATTAAGCAAGTGCTGCACTAAAATAATATCTTTGGCTCACTGCCTGCTATCTATTTGAGATTGTTCAACAACCACTTACAAAGGCCTCATTATGTATATCATTATGTATAACAATACACCTCCGATCACAAAAGACTTTCTGAATTTCCATCTATTTACAAAACTTATCACAACCTAGATAATTCAGACAGAAACCATATTCAAATAAAAACAGATTAAAATTTTATCTTGTGTATCAATTACTATTGTTTTTAAAGTTAGTAGATTAGTTTGTCAATTCTGCTTGCCCTCCAATTAGCATATCAGAAGGGTGATGTACTAGCAGAAAAAAGTACTGCATCCCTCCTAACTAATACTTAAAAAATAGTATATACTGTCGCATAGGATTCCACAGTACAATAGCCTTTGGTGAACCTCCTGAAACTAGTGAGGCCAGAACTATTCATGTTATTGTGCTCCACACAACCTATATGGTCACCTTTCAACACCAAGTGTTATATCTGTCTAGGTTCCAGTAATAAAGAGGTCACATCTGAATAGCAGAAATGATTTCTGTTTAGTTGTGGCTGAAGTTGAAGACATTATATAATGTGGGGTTTTTGTAACTTCCACGTTAAGAATTTTCTCCCTCAACAGTATCAGTCACGCACTCAGTCTCTCATTTTCTACTGCAATGTAAAAGCTCCCTTTTTTGGACACAGTTCTATTCTCCTATTGAAATGGATTTCTTTTGGATCTGATACTCATTAAAGGCAAAATGGTGGAGTTGTATGCATACATACAAAGGGGCAGAGGCATAATCATGCATTCATTCTTTTTTTTCTCAAGACAGTTTTCCCCTTAAACAATGAGCTCATTAGTGCATTTGACAATTAGTGACTTAGAATTGCATAACAGTAATTCAGCTTTAGAGTTCATTGTACTTGTAGCCAATCAGACTATACTCATGTATCCAAAACCCAAGAAAGATCTTTTTTTCTGGTGCCAAAGAAGTTCACAAGGTGTTTTAAATTAGTTCTTATCTACTGTCCCTCCAACAGATGCATACACGTTCTTACAAATGCTTCATACTGAACAGCTGTTATTGTAAGGTGAAATTCACCTTTAAGTGAAAGGAGGAAACTACAACAGGTCTTTACCGTGGCCTTAACAAATGCATTGATCCTCCGGAATGAGGTGCATTCCACATTTCACTGTAATACATCTCCTTTCTGACATCAGACTAAAAAAGAGAGACCACACTCAGCATTAAACACTTTGATTTCTTCTTGCTAGAACTAAATTATTACATACAAGTATCAGCACTCAAGGATAAATTAACTTTTAATTTTAATGTTTTGTAAAACATCTAGAAATACCTCAGAACGACAAGGTGCTATAAAAGTTTAAGCTGTTCCACTACAGTAGCTAAAGGTTAAGACCCCAAAAGATTTCATTTTAAATCTAAGTACTTATAGAACTTGCACTTAAATCAGTCATCAATTCTCACAGATACAACAGATACAACTTGTAGACCAGTACTATGGAATGGCAGAATCCTGGAGTGACTTGAATAAAAATAAATCCATTTAAAATAATTCTTAAAAATATGTTAGCCAACAACGACGAGAAACTAGTGAAGATTTAGTATTCTGTTATTTTAGAAATTTATGTCATAAATGGGTTGTGAGATTTTGGGTAGTTATGCAATACATGAATTATCAGGCAGCCCAATAGGACATACACTGGACAACATCATAAAGACACACTATCTTATAATTGGGTCAGTTCATGTCTTCTCCTAAAAAAAATGTTACAGAATGCTAAGATTGTTCAAAAGTAAGTATTTAGCCCTTTTTGAGGCACTCTTCCACACTGTTATTCAGAAGAAGGTCATGTTGATAAGTAATTTCCATCTGTCCCCTCAGTGAGATAGATGCATGCAACTTTGTGTACTTCACACAATGCAAAATAAGCTTTCATGGCTAACGGCATTAATTTTGTAATAATTTTCATTCTGTTGTTTTCTTACATATTGTTCACAGAAAAACAGTATTGATTATACTCTAACACCTCACTTACAGGTGATATGCGTAATCCTTTAAAACACTACGACACTTTCATTTTAAGTGTCTTTTCAGAAGGAGAAAAGAAATTGTGGGTTTAAAGGACAACCTGAAACCTGTGGTATAAGCTACCACCATCTTGTAGCTATATGAACACAGGAAGAAAAGAAAAGAAAAAAGATGGCTAGTACTACATTACTGAATAATTATCCATCTAAATGTCAGCTATGATCACGTGATCAGTCTTTTTATAGGCAAAAAGAACGTTCCCCTATGTCCATACTTAATATCAGTATGGAAATACTGTACATGTTCACCTTTCCCATTGACATCCTAATATATAGGCATTTTAATACAAGACATTTTGCCCCCTTTTTTCTTTCACCTAAGAGATAAAGGCTTGTAATGCAAATGCAGATATGCTGAAAGTTTTAAAACTTGTAGTAGATTTAAACATTTGTGTATTATCATGTGTTGTGTCACCAAAAAGGCATTGACTAAAACTGAAGAGGCCATTAAAGCAGGTAATTAAAAACCTGGAGGGATATTCAAGAGAACATATCTAAAGAGCCATAGAATTTTTAATTTTGTATCTGACTGCTATCATTATATACAACTTTAAAAGCTTTTTGCAAAGGTAAGTGTTAAAGTGCAGGTGGACATCGCCAGGTTGAGGTATAGTTTCATACTCTGCAGACAACCACAAAATTAAAATCTGCATTTATATATAAAAAAGTAGAACGTTTTTTTCAGAATTGCTTTTGTGATGTGGCAATACTAACAGAAAGCTTACTGCTCCCAGTGCTTCAGACTGTAGTCAATGGGGACACAGACTGTTCTAATCTGATTCTTCCCTCAGGATACAGACAATCTTAATTCAGCGATCATCAGTGGCTAGGTATGACATGCAGTCACTTTGCTTGAATCTGAATACTTATTGCTCCATTCTGGGTGAGAATGTAGGATGCCACATCATGACAAAACAATTAATTGAAGTATGGTATGAGCTGACCTTTCCATGACATGACAGATGCCAGTACAGGCATACCAATTGATTGCACTAACAACAGCCATATCTCTGCTCTGTCGGAGAACACCTATTAGCAACTCTTCTCATTGAAAGGTTCCTTTGTACAGGATGAAGAGATTCATATTTACCACGATGAAAAAAAAAAAAAACCAAACCAAAAAAGACACATAGGCTCTTCATTTCATCCAGGAAGTACCATCAAATCCTGAGACTGCTGTAGGAGTTAATACATACAAACACAAAATTTCCTTCTTACTGATGAAAGCAGAGACTGCCATAGAAATCCAACCTGGGAATACTTTGAAAATACCTTTCTCTCTATAGAAAAATAGAGTAGATAAATTTACATGTCAAAGACATAAGGTCCCTAACAAACTAAGTCAGAACGCTGCTCACTGGAAGAATTACTTTTCACGGTAAGAAGAAAGTTGGGAAAGAGAGGGGTTAGATTGCTATCTAAATTGGTTTGAACTCCAAGGAGAAAACTCAACATGTAGCCAGGGATATCTGTGGGAATACTTAAGACAATGCTTTAAGCAACTTCATTGAAGAGGAAAATAATCCCAAGGACAAATTGTTTATAGTATTTTAAGAATGCGGGGATCTATACTTTAAAGTATATATACTTTAAAGGCCTGATAAAACGTCACTTAAGATTTCTGGATGTGAACTAAGTGCAAGTGTGGAGATACCCACCATGCCAAATAATAATCCTTTTAGGAATCAAGAAGCAGCCATTAGTTTTGAGAGGAGGAATTGTTCACAAGACAGGGTAGGCACTGTGGCAAAGATCCTTACTTTCTGGTACACACAGGCTTACTCCCTCAATCCCAAACTGGGAAGTACATAAACCAGGCCTTTCATTGCAAATCTCAACATAGTTCTCAAAAGGCCACAAAATTAAATGTGCATCAACTGCACATATCTTAAATTTTGTGAAGGCAAGGGTGTTCTAAAATACAGGTCCTTTCAATATACCAGGTTTGCACAACTAGTTGAGACATGCTATCACTCACTGAAAGAACGGGGAGAAATTAGTATAATTCTTCCTCCAAAGGCTTCTTGGAGTATCAATGGTTGAAACAATCATTTTTGTACTAGTTCCAGGGGTAAATGCCCAATTCAAAAGCATAGCACTGGCAGAGAAGAACAACTGTTCTGGGGAGAAGTGGAATCAACAAGAACTTGGTAGGAAAGTTGTGAATATTCCAACTGGCAGCAAGTGCACATGAAAAACTCAACTGTGTTAAAACTGTTTGATAAACAGGTAACGAGGACACAAAGCCAGGTCATAATGAAGACTGGCAGTATGATAAAGAATTAGGATATAGGTGCTTCTGTTTAGTTTCCTAGCATGACTACTAATTAGGAAAAAACAACCCAACCCAAAATCTCTACACACAGGCCTGTAACTATGCATAGCTATACTGCCACCAAAATACCTGATACTTCCATGCTTCCTCAAGTACTCTGCTATTTTTAATAAGGAAAAGGGATGTAATGCTCAGCAATTGTAGTATTTTCAGCTTGAAGGCTTCCAGTAATTTTCATTTTTTGGTCAGCCAGCTTTGACAGAATCCCAAAATTTCTTGATCACATTCCTTTAAAAAAATAAAATCCCTTTTTTCCTAGAGCAAAAAATCCACTTTTGCAGATCCATCATGTGAGCATATGGTGCAACAGCTAGTGCAAAAATCTGCAGACATCTAGATAAATTTCAAACAGTGGTTATTCTATCCTGCTCAGAATATTTCTACTCATCATAATTCATGAATGTTAGTGAGGCCTCAATTACTGCACATAAATTCCAAAATATATGGGGCATAAAAAGCTCTTTAACCCAACAAAAAGGCATAACAAGAACTGATGGCTGAAAATCAAAGCCAGACAAATTCAAAATCAGACAGGAGAATTTTTTTTTTTTAATAGCAAAGGTAATCGAACATGGAGCTTGCTAACAAGGGAAGTGATGGATTTTTATTGTTATTTTTCAAATAATTTGAAGTCTTCAAATCAAGACTTAACCATATTCTAGGAGTTCTATTGCAAGGAAATAAAAACTCTTGGGGTCTATATGGGAAAGATGACAAGAAAGTCCCTTTGTTTTTTGTTTTTTGGGTTTTTTTAATATAAAAAAGTCACACCAGGTGACCTAATGGTTCCTTAACGCTTAAAAAGACCACAACCTATATAGCCATGAAAGCAGGTTAGTCTACTGGAAATATACTTCTTGAGCAGTCATAGTTTGCATCAAAAACTGTGACTGTGTAACTAAGTGGACATATATACTAAAGTGAACTGGAAATAATATAATCATAAAAAGGCATTTTTTCTGAGAGCTAATGACATTCAGTGTTACGTTAGATTAACTAAAAATTGCCTTGAAGTACCTCACTATGAAAAACAATAGTAAAAAATTATGTAAAAGAATGCAAAGCAGAAGAGTTTAACTAACTGAATTTGCCTTTTAGCTTTGATTTGATAAAATCTACATAACTTCCAATATTCATAGAGAAAGACTCAGAGCTGAGAAATGCTGTATGCATACACACACACGCAAGAATTTAGCACCAGAAACCTGGAAGTACATATACCAGGCCTTTCATTGCAAATCTCAACATTGTTCTCAAAAGGCCACAAAATTAAACATGCATCAACTGCACACATCTTTTCTTTCCAGTTCTCTTGACCACAAGAGAGTACAGATCTCAGCTGTGTATTATAAACAATGGATGGCACTGCCTTGCAAGAGTAAACCAGAACTTCCTTGCAATAATCTGAAGTAGCATACAGCAACCTCAGAACATCTCTCCATATAATCCAAGGAACAAAGTCACTGTCAGTAGCGCATACAAGCTCTGCAAGTGAAAGCCGGGACTTAAAAAGAAAGCAAACAAAGGACATTGCTAGCATAAACATGCCAAACCAGTGGAATAAATAGAATTATTGACAAAAATGCCAGTGCAGGTTTTTTTGCTGAGCCAAAGTCAAACTTTTTAATATTGATCAACAGTAAGCAAAAATTGTTTCATAAATGAGTTGTTTCATAAACACACCCAAGATTTATACTGAAAAGATTCAAGCTTTAAAAATCAACATCAGCTTTTCCAAAAGAGATTACAATTCTTTAAGAGGAAATCAAACATACCACAAGAGACATGTTACTAAATCAAGCCAATAACCACAAAAATGTTGCAGTAAGAAAGACAGAATGTTCAACTAACCATTTGATGGGCGATTTCTGAGATTTTGTGCATCTCCACTCATAGGAGATGAAAATGGACTCATTTGGCGTGTTCCTGTTGTCGGTGAGTAAAAGTCTAGATTTTTCTTTTTGGTCTTCAAAGGTGTTGCATCAGATGGCTAAAATATAGCAAAAGACAAAGAACCTAGATGAATATTGGCTAAAGATAAAGAAGTACCTATGTTCATCTAAAACTACAACAGTTGTAAACTTCCCTTTTGCAAACTAAATACATTCTGGCCTCTACCTTTCCTATCAGTACAGTTACATATTGCACCTCAAACCAGACAAAGCCTCTCTGAACTTTTACTATCTGGTAATAAATTTTTCTAAGTAATTCCTAACTTGATGTACTCCCATTTACGGAAAGCCCATGTTATATGTTGTGGTGGGTTGACCTTTGCTGGCTGCCAGGTGCCCACCAAGCCTTTCTATCACTCCCCCTCCTCATTAACATTAGTTTTACTCAAAAAAATAAAAAGCCCTTCAAACAATAGCCTCCCAGTTTTCATAAACAAAAAGTATGCGGTTTCCAGACATTTAGGTATTCTGGCATGAAAACCTGGGTGGGGTGGGGTTTGTTTTGTTTTGTTTTTGTTTAGTTGGGTTTTTTCTTTACAAAAGCAGTCAGAAACTGGTATTATTTTTCCTACAGTATTGAGAATTTAAGACACATGAACTATAAACAAGTATTTTTAGATTTTAATTCTATCAAAAGATAGTTATTTCTAATGATTTTCTAAACAAGTGTTAATTAAAAAAAAACCCAAGTGAGTCCCCAAAATCCAAAATTTTGTCTCTGGCACAGGATTTCAAATATGTCTAATGATATAAAAGGAGCTATTTAGTAATGTTAAAGGAATTGTGCAGAGAAGTTTTCAGAAGAACTATCCTGCAATTCTGAAACTCTAACTGGGATTATCTGGGACACAGTTCCACTCTCTAGATTGGATGCTGAATTGCAACTCCAAGAAACTGGGATTTCAATCCACTACTAATATACAGAAGAAAAAAACCAAACCAAAACCACTCTTTGTTTGCACGTAAAGGGCTTCCGCTCTAGTAACAACATGATTCCAGTTAAGCAGTCTAGCAGCTTTAAATAACACCATCAGTGACTCTGTCAGAAAGGAGACAGACATACACAGAAAAAGAACACAGGTAGCTTAAAGGAGACTCCATTGGCATCAGCAGCATCTTATTGTCACCTTACACTCTTAGAGAAACCACTCAAATGGCTACAGGATTTTCCAGGTAGCTGAATTTGAAGTATCAAGCAATATGCAGACTACCAGACCTACAGTACTTCACTGTTGTGTAACCAGCTGATCCAATAATTAAACAAAAGAGCTGGAAGGTACACCACGTAGCAAACTGGAAAACACAGCTTCAGAATGACAGCTTTCCCATTCTTGCCTACCTTTCATTTCAAGGAGATAAACCCAGCAGGCATGTAAACTACTGCTTCCAAACAAGGCTAGCCACCTCTAAAGAGGAAAATGCAAGTAGCACACAACTGATTTCACTGTATTAACATCTGTCATGCAAAGAATAAAGGGACATTTTGGGCAAAACCACTTTTTCCAGTCCCTTTCAAAATTTTCTCAAAGGGTTAAAGAAGGGCTGTCTAAACGCAGTGAAACAGACACTTTTCCCTATAGTTTAGCCATTTGTTTTTTCTCTTGGAAACGTAGTATCATCAAAGCAAATACCACAGAAAACCAGAATAAGAGATTTCTTCATTTTTTGTTACAATCCTGGGTTTGAGGAGCAAATTAATTTGTCTCTATTTTTGCAACTGTAGCAAGCAAAGGAATAACTCATCCACTGCCCAAACAACCAGCCTTTTCTACCAACTTGAGCCTCATCTGATCTGTAAAACTGAATAGCTATTGTTTGTCTTCATGTCACTCGTAACAGTCACTCAACTTCATACTGTATTTCTTCATTGGAAAGCTTTATTGTACATGATTATTCTGTAATCTCTTTAAGTTCCATTTATTATTCCAAGTATTAATGTCAAAAAAAAGTATAATAGGTAAGCATATCACACTGTTTAAATACCATGAATGAAATACAAAGTGAGGACCTGGGGTTTATATTCATTAAAGAACACACAGTTCTTAAGCCAGCTGTGTGTACGTGTGGGATCAGACAACATTATATTTGCACTTTGGTAACCGACATTATCACTGCAATTTCAAATTAATAACTCATTTATTCCCTTTTCATACTTAATCATATCTTGTCCTATTTCGCTGGAACAAGACCCTCGTGCTAGTCCTTTTTAGAACAGATTAAACAAAGGGCATACAAATCTTCAAGTCCAGTAAGGATTGCTCCGGGTGGGAATCTCCTGCATGCTCTGGGAAAAGGGTCTACTGGGGACATGGTTGAGGGCACAGGCAGTCTGAGTCCGGAGCATGGTACAGAATGGAAAGACAACTCTAAGGCGGCCTGAAACCTCAGAGGTTTAAGGTCTCACAAATACCCCCTGAAAAATTCAACTATGGCAATTTTGGATCTCAGAAGGGGTGTACAGGTGGCAAAAGCAGCATTTTTAAGGCCAACAATCAGGTTCACCAGGTAACATGTGTGAAAGCCACAAGTCATATCGGGATGCAAGTCATTTCAGATCACAAAGCTACATATACAAAGGTGACTTAAAGCCTCTACAATCCAGCAGGAACCCAGGACCTGGGAAAAGGCTACATTTCATTACTGAGTAAATTAATGATAGAAAATGTTAACATTTACATAATTAATATTAAATTGTTGAGGCGTTATAAGGAAACTGCTTCTAGAAGTATACATTTACAGAGGCAATAAATACAAAACTAGGAATATAAGCTGCACCTAGAAGTAAAATGTAACCCTCAGAAGTTTTCTTCTCAATTCCAGACAGTTTGCAGTTGATTTAAATGTCCTGAAGCACAATACTGCTATTTTTCACACCTACATGGATATGTATACTATTGTTATCTATATGAATGAGTGTTTTTATTACAGCTTCTACTACATTCTTGACTTCACCAAAATTTCAGGATGAGTTCTAGACGGTAAGGTGTCATACAAAAGATAAGCCTCCATTATTGGCTTTCAGTTTTCCACACTGCAATATTACTAAATTCCTCCTGATTATATAAAACTATAAAGAATGTTCAATATCCCCTCTAAAAAGAATACAGCACATTCTTATACCCCTTTCCTGCTCTTTACTACTGAACTCCTATTAAAACATCCTGATCTTTTAATCTCCTTCATTTGAAGTATTCTTGTGCCACTTGTACCACTGCCTATGTTCACACTCATTGCCTTTCACAGAATGATACAGATTCAAAGTACAATTTCTGCAATTATACTTTAAAACAGAGTGACAGTACGTTCAATTCTAATTCGGGTGAAGACAAAATACTGATTTATGCAATGGCATTATACTTCCAGTGCTGCTTGCTATGCCATTTCTGCTATATCTTACTGCACTTTTACACACAGTTTTGATGTTTTTCTTCTCCTACTCTGCCTTGAGTGGTTGCCCTTAATTTAGAACCTAACAGTGTTAGTATTGGTCATCAGTAATATGACTTACACTGTATTTCAAAAGATTTAATTTGCTGCCCACTTACCTACCTTTCTTATAGCTCCTGGAAATTACTCTGTCTTGTTTTAGTCTTGAATACGCTAAATAATTTCACATCAGACGTTTATACTCTTTTTGCAGTCTATCAGTACTTAATACCTGATGGAAATCTTCAGTCTGTTGTCACTAATATTTTGCCACATTCAAACAGAAGGAAGAAATATTTCAAATCCTCTTTAAATTAAATATTAATTACAGTAAAGTATCAATGCCATTTTAGGCATTTAAATGTCATCAAATCTCTTTTGTAACAGGGAGAATCTCCAATTTGCTTACACTTTCAGGGTATTCTTCCTGCTTGAACAGCAGTCGCCTCAGCCACCATATTTCTGGGTATGAACTAAGACTCCTCTGAGCAGCTACCTGGAAAAAGTTACTGTAGTACTTAGAAGGACAGTATTTATTTGGCAGTAAGACTTTCTCTTCCAGGAAAAAGAGTCTTATGATACCGTATCAACATTACAAAAGCTAAAAATGCTGATTTCTGATGTGGTTAGTTCAGGCATGCTTTGGGTAGTCTGACCAGCAGGTGGAATGAGGTCCCCCTGAATAACAGGAAAGAAATTGTAGAAACAGCAATGGATGCGGCAGAGCTAAAACAGGTACTTCGCACAAACCGTTTGTGTGTATTACCTTACATTCCTTCTTACCTTCTGCCACGCTATTTAATTACAATACACTTTAAACCTTTGACATGCATCTGTTAGAGGCATCATATGCACTAAAAAACATAGTGTAAGCCTACATTAATGAGATTCCAGTAAAAGTTTTTATCATTCAGATGGGCTTTTGTTAAGCTTTTTGCTGCACAAGAACCTGAAATGTAGGTAACCATCAAGTAACTCTTTCTTTTTATCTTATGGGGAGCAGGTAAGGAAGGAACAGCTTTAAGGCAGAAAAAGAATTCCAAGTAATTTCAGCTGGACCACTCATCTACAAAAACGTTACTACAGCCCAAGAAACAGATGCAAAATTACAGTCACAGCTGCATTCTGAGCAGAACAAGTTGGGTAATTGTACACTAAGCTGCTAATTAAATTGCTAATGATTTTTTTTAGTGCCACTGCGGTATTTTGCCACCTTTGTTTAAATTAAAAAAAAAAAATCTAGAAAATTTTTAAAATTGCAAATTTCTATCTTGCTAAATACCAGTGAGACCTCCAAGTATATGCTGCATATAAACAAATCTCTTCAAAATGACCCAAACGTGGAGATTTATTGGGAGCTCATTTGCTGACCAGCTACTTCTCTGTATGTACTTTTCCAAAATTTTCCTTCCTTTAAACACTGCCATCCTTACAAGCTCCTCTGTATTGATGTCTGCAGCAACACCCACTGTTGATAGCAGCAGATAATAAACTGACATATGTCATGACATGCTGGTACTGGGAGTATACTATAGCTGCATTTACAAAAAATAATAGCAACAGTACAATTTTATTTTTATTGTGATAACTGTGGTGAAATTTATTGCAGTGTTAGTACTTTATTGTTTCATTATGCCAGATTAGCTGAGGGAGGTAATTATATCCTTGACATGAAAATGCCTTTAATGTTTTCATTTCAATTTTGCAGTTTATAATATGCAGCTTACAGCATTATCATAATTCCATATTGTTACATGTACAATTACATGGCAGAACATTTGCTTCCAGGATAATGGAGCTAATTTCTAATACATGATTTCACCAAGGATCTTAACTTATTCAGCTCTTGGGTAAATAGTGATGGCAATAAAAATATGCCTATTTCTCCATTATTTTCAAGTGATTCATGCAGATGTACATTACTTAAAGCCAGGCAGTTCTATGACAAATGGAATACAATAAATTTTACACTAATATTTTCAGCAGTAATTTTGTGCCTTGTTAAGATTTTTCTAGACAACATCCAATCTGTAACAATATAAATGCAGCTCTAATGAAATATCATGTTTATACACACATATATATGTGCATATAGATATATCTACAGACATATGTATACACACAGCCCAGATGATTCCATACACCAAAAAATACTTACATTATCTTTTTTAACAGTGTCCAACTTTAATGATCTCTTAACTCTGCAAGAGAAAAATATGGACAAGTTTTATGGTCATCTAGACATAAAGATTTCTGGTAGTAAGGTCTGTAATTGGTAATTTTAAAGATGTTTTCCTTTCTCGTGTTTTACATTTTTTTATACTACATAAGAAAACTAATGTCACCCAAAGCAAATACATTAACTGATTAAAATACTGTGTACCAAATACGTTGCTTGTTTAGAAAGATAAAGTGTTTGCATAAGAAAATCCAATTCTCCATTTTATACGAGATAAAAATCAAGACACTGAAGTGAAATCGCCCTGTAAATTTGTCTCTTTCTCAAAGACTATAAACAATGAAAAAATACAAAAGCATTATCATTTACATACCTTCTGAGCAAGGGTTGAAATTATTTTGCCATTAGTAGAAATAATGTATTAGGCATTTAAAACACAGGTACAGCCAAGGTGAAAAAAGTAGTTCTTCCCATCATTTTAGCTCTTAACATGATTCAGTGCTACCAGACTATGACTTAACTGGGGAACAGATGCTCTATGTCTTTACAGGTCCCCAAACCATAAGAAACTATTTTCTAGTCTTCTTCACTATACTGATTCAGGAACATGCCAAGCTCTCTCTGCAAAATCTGCTCTGCTGAACTGGATGCCCAGCTGTTAATGGCAACGCTAGAAGAGGAAAGCTGAATATTTATAATACTTTATATCGTACAGCTGTCTTCTAAAGAGCAGTCATCAAAATTTTATTGAATGCAGACTAAATGCTCAAAGGAAAGAAAGGTCAACATAAATTAAGACTATTTTTCCCAGAGACAACCGAAACTTTTTAAGCACATTCCTAAATCTTAACAATAGTTTAAAGCATTATATAAAACAACGAGGCAAAAAAAAAAAAATCAAAATCTATATAAGAACAGTGCCCAAGAAACATATATATTATATCAAATTAAACAAGATTTAGAAAATACATCCTATTTCAAAAACTTAGTTCATAGTTTTCATCTTGGAAAAGAATGTTTTGACTTGTAAGGAATTAAGATGACCCCATTCCAAACATATCCTTTTAAAATTTATGTTTCTATTCCAAACCTGTAAATTCAAGTATTGGAAAAATAGAATGAAAACACATCTTTGAAATACAACCTAGGCAACAGTCTTATATGAATACTGTTTTACAACTATCTCTATTACAAAAAGGGGAAGAGAAGTACTCTATCTTAAAAAAAGCCAAGTAAACAGGTAACATTTAAATTAAAAAAGCGTGTGAACTTCTTGCCAAAGGGCAATCAAAGCTGTAACAGTTTGATGGAATTCTTTACAATGTATTTCTTTTTTAAATAGAAACCCATATTGCTTAAGGAATGCAGACTCCATTACATCTTCCACCCCAGTGGCAGCAGAGAAACATTATATTTATTAATACATCTACTCTGAAAGGATGCTCTAGGGGCCAATGCATTTGCATGTTATACTAAGACATGTTATGATGGAAGTTTTTATGATGGACTTCAAAAGAAGCTGGAAGCCAAAGTAAAGCAGAATCTGGACTCAGCATAGCTGTAGGATGAAGACAAATGAGAAACTACATGAAAATCCCACTAAATTATAAACATTTAGAAAATTTCTTAGAGACAAGTTGTGAACTGGTCAAGACTATGTTCTTTAAAGTCTGCCAAGTACTGTGTACAGCAATAGAGTTGCAGACAGCCCAAATTTCTCTCTTCTGCCCTGCAAAACCCCTGCAAACACCCTGAGCTACGGCAGCAAAGAGGCAGCCTCATTCCAGGCAAGAACTTCAACATTGGAAGGAGCTGTACGGATACAATTTTGGCTTCAGGAGATCAACTTTCCCTCACTTTTCTCAATCCATCCTACCCGGCAGCCTGGTTTGCTTGTGAGCTTGCTTTTAATGATTGTCTTTCTGATGCCATAATGTGAGAAGGTTAATCTCAAAATCAGTTAAAATTTGTGCTCTTCGCCTACACACAGTCCCTGGCTAGGACCACTGAAACAAAATTCATCCAGACATCTAACATGAAGACCCAGTTGGCCGAAGTGTCTTCTCTCAGATCTTTCAAAAGATGAACACGGAAAAAACCCAATATGTGCATCTAGGTGCAAACAAAATTCCTAAGGTATTTTAGGAAATACCACAGAGGAAGAGGACCAGCTTTAGTTTGGTTTATCTTTTTTATATGGCCAGAAAAGCCTTGCTGTAGCTATGGTATAGAATCAAATGTCAGAGTATGAACAAGAAAAGGAGAGAGAAAGATGAGGCATATGTGATGACAATACAGAACAACTTATTTACCTGAGTTTCCTACCCTTGAATTGGTTCAAAATTCCCTGACAAGGCTTAATTTTCCTTAACTATGCAGAGTATGATGGCACATATTTATAACTAGCTGTACAACCTGCAATGATTATTTTGCCCATAATATTTATCAGGTTAAAGAACTATGTATGACTTCTATAGCGTGTCATTCATCTATCATTCCAGGTCATATCGTCAGTTCCTTGCTAATACTGGGAGACCTTTACGCACTTGAATAGTGCTTTGATGAAACCACTTATATGAGGAACTGCTTAACAGTGAGAGCCTAGGTATGCAATTTAACTTTCTATAAATAAATGGATTTTTTAATATTGTTTTTAATTCCACATACACTTACCCTTCTCTCCTTCACAATTCATTTATGAATGAATGCAATGGTAACAGTCACATACCGATTTAATGCACAAAAAAGAACATACAGAATCAGGGACTCAATTATATTATTTCATTAACAATACACGAGAGAGCATTGTAGTGCATTTTGAGGCCATTTCAGTTAGCTTCCTCTTAAGTTTCTGCTTTCACTGGGGAAAAAAGAAAATACCTCTATGCTATTTACATATTGCTTCATCTTCGAAACCTGCTAGCAAAAATGTCTTATTAATTGGAAAAGCAGAAAGGATACATGATCATTTTCTATGTTCTGCTTACATGGTAGTTAAACTCAATGTGCAACCAGTGAGAAACAGACTTAAACACCAAAAAAAAAAAATCAAAGCTTGTGTATGGATGTTTGCTTTGTATTACTGCTGTCTGGCATGATTACTTCAACTTCCAGTGGTCAAGAGAAAGACTGGCAGAAGCTGGAACCTATGTTAGCTCTAGCGCAAGTTATATGTGAAATTGCATAAGGAGCTGTAAACTGGGACAATATCCCAAGCCTATATATCAGCAGCATAAGTCTTATGGCCTCACCTTACTGCTGTTGAAGCTAGCAACATCCTACACATTTTCTTTATTGTTCTTCAGAAGCCCATGATTAGCAAAGACACACAAGAATAGCATCACTTACATGACTATTGCTTGATAAATTGCAAAGAATGGGAGAGAGAGGAACTGGATTTATTCGCATTGGAGACAATGCGAAGAGATACAGCCTGAGAGAAAACGGACACGGAACGTGTCACGCCCTTATCACCACAGGCCTACAC